TTAAGTAAAACACGAACAGAAGCAGTGGCAAGTTTGGAGCCAGGGACTGTACAGTGCTTGTGGATGGGTAACCTTCACTTACAATTTCTATGATCCAAAAGAGTTCATCAACATTTTAACAACAGGTAAATACCATAGCAAACACTGAATCAGGCAAAGAAATATTTTCTTTTTCAATACTAAAACTTGAAAGTGTTTCCAACATACTTTATTTTGATGCTTACCAAAGAATAATCAATATTTTAGGGAGTAAAAATTTCCAAAGTAGTGTCAGATTGTTTCAGATTTTCTTTACCACTAATTACATTCCTGAATGTATTTTAGTGAAAGAAATGAGAAATAACTAAGACTTGCTCTTTGAACTGAATTTTAATAGGAAAAATCACCCTACAATTCATAAAAAATTTCAAAACAACTGTTAAATACAAATGTCACTTATATTTTACACTAAACTAGAGTCACAGCACTTCTTGCAAAACCACAAATTCCAATTCCTGAAGACCATCTGAACAAAACACAATCTGGAAAACTGAAGTGTTGTAGAGTATAAGATTCAGTCATACTGGGCACTAGTGATCATAATCCCTTCATATGGAATTAGCTGAAGCATGGAAGAGCCATTTGCTATATCCCTTCTGGTCATGTTACCCTCTCTCCCATCGACCCCAAAACTCAGAGAGGTCCCTTCACCACCACTGCGCCCTAAGGAAGCTTTACGGAACCCTGAAAACTGCAGCAGCAGCTAGACCTAAAACCCCTCGCTGCACCACAAGTGACCTGCTGTGTGCCATATGGTCACATACTACCCAACCCTCCTCAACCCCTTAGCTTAGTCAGGGGAGCAGAAGGTTGCAAAAGGAGGCTCAGCAGGAGACACCAATTGCTGCTAACAGCTTTAAATAGTTTAATATGTACCTAGAGCCAGAAACAGGGCACTAACTCAAGATGCAGCCATCAGGTATCAAGACACCAGATATTCTGGACTTGGAGAGAGGAGATGAGGTGAATGTTACTCTTCCATCCTAATTTTATCCAGTATGGAAGAAACATGTCTCAAAAAGGACTGTGATTTGAACAATGAATACATTTCCATTTGCTAGGGTGTGGAAAGCCACGAGCTAACAAATTTTGCAGTACTGACAAACTTTGTCCAATTAGCCCACAATGTTTGGGAAGCGGCATATAACCCAACCTTCAGGAAACCCTGCAAAACTCGACCAAAGGTCAATAAATCACCAAGTTTCTGCTTTTTTTGTGTAGAAAAGCATCCCCAGCAAAACCAGGGTATTTTTTTTCCTCACCACATTTCCTTAACCTCTATATCTCCTATGCTTGCCTTGGAGAGTTTCGGTTCTGTCCCTGAGCAGAAACACAATACCTTAACACAAGAACGGTGCTGGTGAAGGCCCCTATATCACTATATAAACACTCATATCAGCTGCTGTATCAATGTGCACATCCCTTGTTTAGTAATGCACTCATGCCCACTGCCCCTAACAGCACAAACTCTTGGGCCCTTTTATGCTATTTTTTATTGAACGGCACCAAGCTGACTTAAGCTCCCACAGACGCCCACAACTGCTCACATCAGCGATGCCACACTCCAAATACCTAGAAACTCTCCAAGCCTGCAATGGTCCCTGGGCAGCCACCTACTCCTAAAGGGACTTTCAACAGAGATGAGATCAGCAAACATATCCCATAATCCTAGAGCAGAGTAAATGGCCCATGGAGCATGGGATCTGTGATAGCGAAATTACAGACTGTAACGGAGTAGAATTTCCTGCATACTCTGACTCGAGTCTTTCTCTTTATAGCGAGTTTCTCAATAACTGGGTCTTTTTCCTGCTTGGGAGGTGAGCATAATTCAATCTTTATCAGTTTGATGAGTAAGATTTTATTTATTCATCCCTCCACCTATACTTCACTACATCTCATAATCCACAGCATTTCCCCTAAAGGGACAGAAAGGATTCCCCTTGGTGATAAGTGAAATCTCTTTGCTCTTCAGTCTCAGCAGTCTTGCCATTAACTTCTTACACGTCTACCTGAAAAATCCCTTGGAAAAAAAAGTTCAAAGATGTTTATCTAAACCTGTTGAGACCTTCAAGTAACAACTTTATGGCAATAACTACCCACTCATTTCACAGGTTACACATTCAAATGCCAATTTTGTTAATTATTTCAGAGTTCACCTGTAGGAGGAGAATGGATGTACGATACTATGAAATCAGTGCTAAGCATCTAGAGTTTGGGTTGAGCTTTTCACACCACTATCTTGCAGCTAAGTACAAATTTCTTAATTTTAAAAGACGAATCAGTTTTCAACAGTTCAGAAAACATTCCTGCATTGCTTTGTATTTTCCTGTCAGTTATGCTATGCATGAGATGACATTCAGGAAAGTATTAACGAAACTAATTATGCCCACTAACACACAAAATTGCCTAGGTCAGAAAAAAATCTTACATAGTTGCTGTCTATTCAGCTAGCAAGCATCATTCCCACGTAACAGGTGGGTACAGGGAGCAATCAGGTAAATTCATCCGCTAGCACTGTGCAAGGTGACAGAACGCAAGTCCCCCTTGCCCTCTGTGCTGCTCTCTGATACCCACCTGCTGGGCAAAAACCGCTTGCCAGAGCCAGTTCACAACCTCTGAGCAGTGTGCTGAACTGGCAGTGCTGTCAGAGAGGCAGCACAGGACCCCAGAGATCTGCAAGCCTCCGAGGACCCACCGGGGGATTCTCCAGCTGCCCTTCCTGTGTCCCCTGCCTGCAGCAGCATGGCCAGGCAGTGACCCGACGCCACTGGCAGCTTGCCCAGGCTTAGGCTGCTTGACACCACCGAGGGAATTATAGTGCGCAGCGAAGAAAAGTGAGGAAGGCTCGAGAAGCAGCTTTTAATCTTCCACACCTCTCACTGCACTTCGTCCTCCTCGTGCAAGCCTTCCACACGGTCCCACTTCTGTTTCCTCATGTGACTAACAGATTGCATGCACTGGAGGCACACGGGACAAAAAGCAGGGGATCTCCCAAACTTCCCAATCCCTCCTACGCTGTCCTCTCTCAATGCAGCTTTTCTTCTCGTTTCTTCCTATCTACAATAAAGATGCTAAAATAATTAAAGCAAAGATTCTTTTGCTTTGGATAATCTTGTTAAGAGTGCTTTATGCTTAAAACCATGACAAATGTACTCTTTTATTATTTACACAAATGACTTTTAGAGCATTTTCCTGATGGACCATTATTATTACTTGATAATATGTAATCTGAAATGAACACAGCATGAAAAACGTGAGAAGGAAAGAAAAATTTATAACTAAATAATTGAGAAAATACTCTTGTAGTACTTGGCATGACAGCATGATTCAGAGAAATGACAGCAGTATTCTGAAGTAAGGATGTTTCTGTTGTGAAAGAGCCAACAGTGACAGCAGAAGAATCTGAACATCTCAAGAATAAAATCAGTGGGGTCACTTCCTGGATTTTTATCTGTTGGAACCATAATAAATATGACAAAGCAAACCTCTGCACATAATCTGCACATCATCTTTCAGAAGAGAGAACACCATCTTGTCTCTCCGTTATAGCCTGCAGGGGAAGAAGGTGGGGGGGACCACTTCCATAATCCTTTGTAATAAAACTTTACTTCATGTCAAGAAAATTTTTTAAAAACCAGTTATCTTAATTATGGGAACAAACTAGAGGGAGCACAAACACTGTTAGAATTTTTGGTCCATGACGCAAGCCTGAATAAAATACTACCAAAACAACATTTTAAAAAATCCATGCTCTTGGCTTCGGATATTTTCTTTCAGTGTAAAAAATGGTCTTTTTGAAGCATGAAGAACACAAGGCCATTCCCCTCCCTTCACCCCAATAAACAGATGTGAAAACCTGGTTCCTTCATTCAGATGAAAATTTCCTAATACAGATACATATCTTACCCTAACTTAAACCACAGGTGGTACAAATGCAGATTTGCCTTACTTCAAGTTTGATAGTTAAACTTCTGCTTATTGATGTTGGTAATTTTCATTGCTAAAATCATACAATGAAAATGCAGTCAATTTCAATTACATTTTTTTAATTTAAAAATGTTTAGATTTCAAGTGCTCCACGACATATGGCTGTTTCAAGAGCCATTTCTGGAAAAATGACTATGCTTCTGAATTGCCCATTTGAGACCACATGCACTAAAACCAACTTGAAAGTAAAATATTTTTACACTTAATCCTGAGACTCAGCAGTGAAAAGACAGTACAACAAAACATGACTAGTTATTCCTTCCTGATCTGAAAGTACTTGAAACAACATTCTTAGCTGTAATTTCAAGGTACTTACAGAGTAAACCAAAAGGCATTGCAAAAAAAGCCACCCTTCATTAGGTATTTCAATCAATTGACTTCTGCCTTTCCGTAGCACTAAGATACACTAGATACACATATATTGCTTTAAAGTTTTAAAAAAGTGACCATGCTACTAGAAAAGATACTAATTCAGATGCAGAATATTAACTCCCCTACCAGTGAGACAGAATCACATTATATTTCATGGCAGTTTAAAATACCACAACTTTAAAGAACATCTGATGACAGCTGAAGAAAAGCCATTCAATCTCAAGAAGCTGTGATTTCAAATGAAAAAAAGCAAGCAACACAAGGCCACCAAATAACCACTTCTACATCTCACCATGTGATTACAGTTCAACCATATAAATCAAAACATGCATGTTAAAATTCTCAAACTTCACAGACCCAGCTGTCATTCCCAATTTCTGCTGGCTTAGTCAGCCATCAAATAGTCCAGGAAATGACACAAGCTCAAAGCTCAGCTTCCTTACTTCATTTAAGATTACACTTGCTGGCTGACTGTAATAAAAACGTGTATCAAAAGATCCTCTGCGATCTTTTCAGAGCCCAGATCAGCTGTCAAAATCTACCTCAAATAAAGCTGCATTTGAAAGCAAACCAAACTGCAGAAAAAGAACGGGAAACTTTACCTTGATTGGAGCACGGCTAAACTGTATTTTTCTGTTGGCTGGTATTTCATCTTCATCTGGCAATCCATTAATTTCAGAATATTCCATATCAGGTTCATAACAGTTATTCTCGTCACTGTCATCCTGATCATCCTGTTCTGTACCTGTCTCTCCCCAGTCAGAATTATATCTCGATCGTACCCGATACACATTGTAGTCAGAGTGCATGTACACATGGGAACTCTGAAAATTATTCACATCTTCATGCACTTCTTTTTCACTTGCCTCATCATAATGGGACTCAGTAGCATCTGAAACAGCATCTGTGGCAAAATCACCACCTGAAGCTACATTTCTTGGTAATCCTGCAGCTTCAGGTCTATCAAAGACAGCCTCTGAAAGTTCCAACTGTTCCTTTTGTTGCAACAAACCTTCTGTCTCTATTTTTGACCTACTCCTCACACAGCTGTCCACAGATTTTTCGCTGTCAAGCACGCTGACCAAATCCTGTTGACTCACTGCAGAGCCCTCAGCAGAAGCAGCCTCTGTACTCTTCTTTATTTCTTCAGTTGTTGTTGAACCTGCCGCAGTGCCTGTGGATGTCTTCTGTCTTGGTGTTGAAGGCGCACTATTCTGCTGAGAGTTCTCAACAGACATCATGCCTGTACTCTGTTTGGCTGGGGGAGACCACGTGCTGGCATCTTTCAAAGGACTGAAACCCTCAAGGTTTGCAACCGGGGAAGAGATATTTGCAACAGTAGATGAAAGGTTTAACGGATAGTGACCAGTTACAGAGTACTCTTCGTTGTTTTCCGACTTTTCTACAACAATTACATTGTGTGAGTCAGTGTTTTCAAAAACTGCGCTGAGCTGACTCACAGTTGGAGAGACAGTCTCTGTCCTTGGGCTAAGACTGTCCAGTGAATCGGTGCTGCCCCTGTGAGACTTCGAGCTGCACCACTCATCCGGAAGCTCATTGGAAACGACTTTCTCTTTCTTTGGGGAATAGCGATTGGAATGTCCCGTTTCATGAGCATTTCGCTCAAACATCTTCCGAGTTTCAGTAAACTTAGAATAGGAAGGACCATCGTGGATAGTATCAAATCTACTAATCCTTTCTGAGACGGATGATTCCAACTTCACAATTGAACCATCTGCTTTTTCTACAAATTCTTTGGGCCTAATTCGCCTCTGAGGTGATGGAGGGCCACCCTTCCCCCTGGTTTTAGGGGTAACTCCAGCACTTTCAGTGGGCTCCATGCCCATCTGCATAAATAAGTTCTTAATCCTATTGACATTTGAGCCATATTTCCTTCCCCTGCTCTGCGAGGCCTCTCCTTCCTCTTTCGCTTTTTGGTCTCCATCTGATTTCGGTTTGTCAAAGGTGCTTTTCAGCGCCTGGAACTCAGTTCTGTAAGCGTTCCTGTGAGGAGAGGCACTTCGGAGGGTTGATCTTTCTCCTGAAGACTCCGTTTTCATCATGTTTACTCCAGGAGCGCAAAACCAGCTTACATAGTTTCTGCAGCACCACTCTCAGCAGTCTGTCACAGCTGAGATTCTGCTTGAGGAGTGTTTTTCTCAGGGAGCACTGCCCTTCAGCAGGGCCATATTCGACGGAAGATCTGGAGGCAAATATCTAAACACATGCGGTCAATTCTGACAAAGCAGCACGACCAAGGACTCTCAAGAACAACGGCTGATATAACCTGCAATAGAAAGGAGGGTTTTCTGAATCATGTCAGGTACTTGTACTTCTTTAAACCTAAGCCACAATTTCCATTTACCTGTATTTGACATGTTTACAAAAAAAATGGTTAAGAAAAAAATACAACCTAATACTAAACAGACACATTAAAACTTGTCATTACAAACTTCTTCAAATTGATTGCTGCACAATTTGCAACCTATATCATTCCATAGTAGAAGAATGGCTTATTGCATCTCACCATTCACAAAGTATTGTATCATGTCACATACATGCATGCAAAGGAAAGGCAATGTGAAAAGAAAAATAGCACTACTTCTGTGTTCTTATTCAACTTTACCAAAAAATATAACAAAAATACCCCCAAATCAAACCTCTGAGTTACTTCGATCTAGCTACAAAGTAATTCATGCAAACACGAGGGTTCTGCTTCCCTGAGGCACTGCAAGACAACCCTTGCTCTCTCAAGCTAATCGTAATGGTAGAAATACCATCAAATGTAATACACTGAGAAAGGCAAATTAAACAGCAGCTTGAGGGAATAAGAAAGAGGCACCCAAAGTTAACATCCGCAGCTGACACGATAAAGAAAGTGAAATCCAGTTAGAGAAAGTTGCCCCTTGCCACGAGCAACGGGTTTAGCACCTGGAAGCGCTTGGAGATGCCCGAGGAGGAGCTGCAGAAACGGAGCCAGGGGCTGGATCTGCGCCCACTCCCCGGCCCGGGGGGCTCGCAGGGGCCGCTGTACCGGAGCAACGGAGCCCCCCGGCCCCGCCAAGGGCAGCGCAGGGCTCGCCGAGAGGCGAACCCCTCTCCCTTCCTGTCCCTACCTCCTCCTCCCCAG